TGGATGACGATGATGATGTTTTGATGGTAACATGGTTGATTATTTTATTAATGAGAGAAGATTCAAAAAGAATGTGCAAAGCCATCATCCCCTTTAAGTGGCTGGACACACACACACACACATATATTATATATAATATATATCCATTTGATGGTAGTTCTCTTGGTAACTGTGGTCCATTAGGATTGAGAGGCCTATTATAATGCCTCTGTTTTGGTATTTTTATAGTCCAATTAGAGATTTTTATGCCATTAAAGCTGAAGTGTTGGTATCGGCTTACTGGGTTTAGGATTGGAGAACAGTCTCAACCTAATGTGCTGAATGCAAGGAGTAACTTGGCAAATGCTAGTTGGTAGGCTAATGGAGCTGGTTCAGTCCCATGGACCCTGACACATTATCTCAATGAGATTATATATTTTAAGCTCCTTTCTGATTGTTTTGCAATAGATTCCCAGAGATCTCAATGCCAAAGTAGATAATTTAGCAAGTAGGAGCATGGAAAAGGATTCTTTGTACAAGTAATTGCATTAATTCTCTATTAATGAATCTTTTCTCTTTACTCATAAAAAAAAGGATTCTTTGTACAATGGCAGCTCTTTTCGTACCTAGGGATTGTATTTGCTCTTTCTGTAAAGCTGTTATATTTCTTTTTGTTCTTAACAAAATAGTCACCTTCAATAAATAAATAAACAAGCACAAGGTAAAAAAACCAGCAGAGAACACAAAACCCTCAGGCTTCTAAATTGAGTTACCAGCCCAGTGTCCTATAGTATATCTGTCTGTCTCTCTCTCTCTCACCTCTATTACCTGAGGGGACCTGATTTTCCGGTAAATATCCATTGCAGTTTAATTTGATAGCTTAAGGGGTGGGGATCCATAGTGGGGGAGGAATGTCTCTAGAGTTGGAGGCTGGATGACCTTTCCTGATGTCTTCTGTAGATTATCAAGTGATAAATAGTCCTCCAAATCGTCAATGTGTTTTAGGAGGAATCTTTTTGATTGGGAGTTAGAAGAGATTGTGGAGCTGATGGCTCTTCTTCAGAAACAGAAGATAGACTTGCTCTCGGAAGACAAATGGTGCTGGAAATGGAATCCAGATGGTGAATTTACTGTTAAATCCCTTGCCTCCAAGCTTTGCAGATTGGGCCTCACTGATTTCCCAACTACACAGATCTGGAATTCTACAAGTCCTTCAAAGTCCAATTTTCTGATTTGGACGATGGCCCTTGACAAATGCCTTTCCAGATCTAATCTTGTGARGCAGGGCATCCAAATTTTGGATTTATCTTGTGGTCTTTGTGGGTTCCTTACTGAATCGACAGATCATTTGTGTATTCATTGTCCATTCTCCTCTCAGGTTTGGGAACACTTTCTCAAATCCATGGATATCAGTTGGGTTATGCCTAGGTCGGTTAAGGAGCTTCTCTGCTGCTGGAATGTTAAAGGCCTAAGCAAGAAAGGGAAGTTGGTGTGGAGGACTATTCCTGCTGCTGTCTTGTGGCCCATTTGGGCTGAAAGGAATAGTAGGATTTTCTGTAATAGAGCTAAGAGCCCTGAAGATATAATACAGAGAGCAGTGGGCAAGCTGATCTCTTGGGTTTCTGTTTCTGAGGAGTTCAGAAGTCTGAATTTGTCTTTTTTACTTCGTTCTAATTCCTGGTGGAGATTGTAATTGCTGCAGTTTTCAGACTGCCTTTCTGGGTCTGAATCCAGCTTCTATGTGTTTTTGTTTTTGAATAAAATTACCTTACCTCTTTCCAAAAAAAAAAAATAAATAGTCCTTCAATGAGCTTTTGTAGTGGAGGCACACAAAGGGACCAGATGAATTCTATTACTAAGCTTGTCTAGAGTTCATTGATTTAAATGGCATAAAGCAACTGATTTTGCATGGAAATCCAATGCTCTTTGGGAATTTAGAAATTGACTTGTGAAAATTGCAGTATATTTGTTTTTGCTATGATTCGAACCAAATCCCATATATACCCAATGTTGATTTTTGAAGCAGATGAACCCTCATAAGCCAATGCAGAAGCAAGAGATCCATTTGCTGGTTTTTCTTGTTTGTTATTTTTTCCTCTCAATGAAGGCACCAGCTAGCTTGCTGGTAAAGTCTCTAGCTTCTTGTAGCAAAGACCTGGGATCAGTGGTTGAATCCCACCTTCACCAGGGTTAGTGGAGGTTAAGGGATTTGGGTGGGGGTCCTGGGGGATCTTTCATAACAAAGTTTTAAAAACTGACCTGGAAAAGAAACCGCTTTGGTCACCGGTTTCCAAGTCAGCGGTTCAACCATTTGGGTTGAATGGTCTGACATGTGATGCCATAAATATACTAATAAAAATATAAACTATTTATAAATAATGCAATATACCATAAAAAATTAAATATGTTGAAAACATCAAAATGGAAAAAACTAAAAAACCTAAATAGTGAAAAAATAAAAAACTAAAAAAATACTTTACCTTTTGTCAAAAAAAAACTAAAAACCAGAAAAATACAGAGCATTATGATTTACATGTTATAGAGCATTTGCACATATTTATTTGTAAAAAGGAGCTGATATTTAGCAGATCACTTGATTGCACAGATTATAGAACAAGTTTCAATTTTCAAAGAAAATAGAAAACTTGGTTAAGAGATAAGAGATAATAGATAGAGGGAGTTGCAGTACATACTACATACTTAACAGATCCCTGAATTGCCACTGCAATCCCTGGGTTGCTGCTGCAATTCCTGGGTTGCCGGTTGTTGGCACATAAAAATAAGAAATGGAAGGAGATGGTTGCAGCTGCAAGCCCAAGTCTTGGGTGACCCATCGCTAGCTCAAAAAAATAAGAAATGGAATGAGATGGTTGCTGCTGTAATTCCTAGGTCGTTGGTTGTTGACGCAAGAAGATAAGAAGTGGAAGGAAATGGTTGCCGTTGCAAATGGCGGTCACCAATGCAAGGTTGCCAAGGTATAAGAGATAGACTTGAGAGTGGTGACAGGGGGTTGATGGTCTCTTTTGTTGCCAAGACGTGGGTTGCTGTTGAGTCTCTTCTCTCTTCAGTCTTGAGAAAGAAGACTGTATTCAGTAAACCCTAAAAACCATCAAATGAGATTTGGTATTAAAACGTCCCTTATTTATTTATTTTTTATTCTTTTATATTAATTTAAATTAACTGTGTTGGGATAATGCATGGTCAATGATGATGATGATAATTTTAAATGCGACACAAACAGCTGCCCAGGTTGAATAGTTTGCCAGTTAAGCTGTCCAGTTCAGTGTTTTTTGACTTTTTCAATGTTTTTGCTTTTTTAAAAAGCAGCCCAGGGCATAACTGGAGGGTTGAATGTCTAACTGTCCAGGTCAACACCGTTTTAAAAACATTATTTTATAATGTGGTCCCATGCCCAGTGAGTATGTTGAACATCCCATTAAATGTTTGATTTGCTCCAAAAGTCAAACAAGCTAACTGAAGAAAATGAGAAAGGGGGAAGACATGAAAGAAGAAGAAAGAGAGGGAAAGGGGAAAAATAAGGAGAAATTTTAGAGCATGTTGGTTTTCTTCAGGCTTGAAGCCTAGTTTTTGTTTTCTGTCACTAATAGAATTCAATACTTTAAGAATGACAGAATCTTGAAGGTGAAGATGATCATTGGTCTCTTGTAAATCCTCCGGCATCTTGCTTTAGTCTTTGAGTTTTTATGTTCTATTGACTAATAAAACTAGCAGAAGCAAGTGGGATGTTTGAAATTTGGTTTGAATGGTTTCTACTCCACACTACAAAGTGTCTTTGATTCATGCCAAACATCCATGGGCCATGAAGTAATAAAATCCTAATGTGTCTGTTTTGACAAGTTTGGGACACTGAAACTCCTCAAGGAAGATGTTTATATTTTACTAATAACAGCGAAGAGAAATTATTGAGGTTAGTGATGGACTCGTGTCCCCTGTGATATGGCGGTTCTCTCCGCCAAGTTTCTCTATTGTTGTGGCAGATTAATATGAACAAAAAGGCTCGATGAATGTCATCTGTCACACAAGTAATTTAGGAAGGATTCTGGATATCCTGTTCTCCTGTATGATCCCTGTATGGGTTAGTTGCTGCCTTTTCTGTTGTAAATTCACGTCTTATTGCTCTTTTTCATAGTTTTAACTATGAAAGATGGACTTGTATCTCATATGATGTAACAGATTGTTAGGTTTTGATTATTGCCATCCTCCTTTTGGCCATGGCCAGGTGCTGAGCTCTCAGCTTACCTTTTTTTTGGGCCAAGTTCTTCAAGTAACTGCACATCCTAAAGGGTGCCATCCATTTATACATTGGGATCATTTATGGGAAGGACAGATTGTCTTATTGTACATCACATAGCTTCATAATATTTATATAGTTCACTTGCAATTTTTGCAGTTAGTTAAAATATTATTGCACCCAAATCTATCTACTTGATTTTAACAATCTGAATGAATATTATACAAGAGGTTGTTTGGTAAGCGGCCAGTGGTCAATCATGTTACTGATAAAGAAAAGTTGGCAGTTGTGATGCATTTCTTGAAAAATAAATGACCTTTTAATTTTGCGTTTGGCAACAGTGTTTTGCATGTTTATTTAATGCTATTTTAGCATCCCGTTAGAGAAAGCTCTCATTTTTTTGGAAGTTATCTTTCCCTGCTTTGAAAAATGGGGGTGCTTCTCAAAGCAACTCTCTTCTATTTTGAAATGAAAAAGAAAAAGAGATGATGGTTGGCAACTGGCTATTTCGTGAAAAATACCTGAGATTAGGTTTTTTCCAGTCCACCTCTCCCACAACCCGGGATACCTGGGAACAGCATTGGGTAATGACTCTTAAATGGCTTCACCATTTTTTGTTCATGTAGCATGGACAGAAAACAAGGGAACCAAAGTGAGCTAATCTGCTGAACATCCCCTAGTTTTTTTTTCCCAAAAATATTAGTTTTGAAATTGTTCTTTCTTCTAATTGCTGATTGAACTAATCATATACGGGTTTATCTTATGGTAGGTTTGGCACTGGTCCTACTTTGCATGGATTAGATGAATTGAAGAAATCAGAGGAACAGAAGAGAAAGGCCAGGGCAGAGAGGTTTCCCTTCCGTCTAATCTTTCTTCACTATTAAACTGTAAAGCTGCTAACGTTGAAATCATTAAAACCACTAATTAATCTGTCTTAAGGGCAGATTGTTGATAAACCTACTAGATTGACTTTGAGCTCTTTATGTTGTTTCTCAGGTTTGGCCTTCCAGCACAGTCTGCAGCTGATGAGGAGGCAAAGAAGAAAGCTCGATTAGCCAGATTTGCACCAGTTTCCAAGAATGATACTTTGGAAGAAGATAAAAAGAAGGCAAGGGCAATCAGGTCAGCATCACAACGATCTTTATTTTGCAGTAAGGATTGTGTGCCTTTAGTCAGCTTTAAAGCTGAATGCTTTTTCTGTTCTCAGGTTTGCCCAACCTCCATCTGCTACTCCGTCACAAGTTAATGGAAAGGCCAACTCTGAGCAGGTAGGCTCTAGATGTTGGGGATAGTTATGTTGCATGGAAGAGCATATCTCACAGTTAGCTTCACTGATTTTGTGTTGATTGATGTCAGAAGACGGTTACTGTGGGTAAGGCTCATGGAGGAACCTGATTGTTGATGCATTGCTTTTAACAGTAAGTTCTAAGTTGGTTTCAAGTTTGCTTGCAGTGAATTGCCTGGACAACTATATTGTTCTGTCTTCCATCTTACATCCTGCTTTGTCATTTCCTTTTTGTATGATGCTACTATTTGATCGTCTTTCTTGCTTGGCAGATCTTATCTAACATTTTCTGCTCTCCCAGAGGATTTGTAGCCCATTTTTTACCATTGCACATGTGATGTGAATACTCCCGGATGACTTGAGATTGCAACACTGCCTGCCAAATGTTCAGAGGAAAGTTTTTGTGGCACGGAGATATTTTATTGGGGATGCACTTGAGAATTGAGATGTATTTGTGGACGTTGGGGGAATGAAACAAAAGGAACTGATGAATACGGTGCTGAATTACAGGATTGTTTAACATGGATCATGGATGTGATTTCGTTTACTTCTAGGCCCATCTCCAATTGTCTACTTTGCAAATATCCAACTTCCTGAAGTAAACATGCCAAGGGGGAAAGATGGAAAACGTTGGAATATGTTTTTAGTGTATTTTCCAACTCATATTCTTTCCTTTTGGATGGATTGAAATGGTGTAGCTTCCATCGTTCTAGTTTGGGGAAAAGAGAAGAGGCAAAGCGTTTGCCTTTTACCGGCGTGTTCAAAAATCACTGGACGTCTCGGGTTTGTCCTGCGATGGTGGTTGCAGGACACGTATGCTGCATTTGGAAGTGATGTAAATCAAGAATCGATGTAAAATTTACATCGGTTTGGTTTTGTAGGCGTTTGGAAGGAACGTGTAATTATGATCAATGTAAAATTTCACTCCAGTTCAGTTTTGCGTGCATTTGGATGGAGTGGAGTTTTACGTCGATAATTGATGGAAAATTTCATCAAACATAAGTTTTTATATCGATAATTGATGTAAAAACTACATTGATTTTATCGATGTGAAACTTTACACTTTTCCACCCATTACGTTTTTTCAAAAAGCAACAGTTACTTTCACAGTTCACTTTTTACACTGATTCCAAATGCAGTTGTAATCTTGATAATTAGAGTTATTCCTTAAATGGTAATGGCTGAGAGCTTGCAATCAGGCCCCTCTTGGATCTGGATGTTACAGCCTTACAGGGATAGCAACGATATGAAAAGGTTGGTAGGTACAGGATTATCTCGTTATTCCTTTCCTCGACACTTTGAGCGCAGTATAGCCAAAAGCGTTCATCCGTCTGAATATTGCTTTTGGACTAATTAAGCCCAAACAAATGGGATTTAAGGAAGCCTTACATCCGCCAAGGGCTTTTGATTAAAAACAGAAACGACTGTGTTAAGAGAAGGGGATCATCTGTTCCTGTTTTTCACTTCTCTGGTGCTATCAAGTGATGAAGCTGCATCTGATTTTCGCCAGTATGCAGTGAAGCACAATCTGGTAAGGAACGTGAGTGCTTCCCTCACGTAGAGTAAAGACCCAAGTGAAGTGCACTTGACCTTGTGCCTTCTTTCCAAGGTGAAGATCGACGCACTTTCATCTCCTCAACGTGCCATAGAAGCGCAACATGAAGTTTAACACAAAAGATGATAAAGACTCACCTTGAACCATGTACTGTCTCGTTTGCCTTTGCCTTTGGAAGTTGGAACCATGTTGTACTACAATTTCTGTGGCGGGTGTACTGGCCTACTGGGTTGGGTGGTTGTTCACCTACCTACGCTGTGTTATTATCATAACATAGTCAATTAGGTACGCTCAGCCCTGCGTTTGTTTTGCTAATAAAATCTGGGAAGAGCATTTGCATTATTGCACATCAATTTTAAGGTAATAATAATATTCAGCCTGTGTTGGCCCGAATTCCGTGGCATTGTAGCTTGCCAATCCTATGATTTTAATTCTCATGTAGTATTAATTCATTAAGAAATTGCAATCCTGTGCAATTAAACAAAGTCAGAATTTTGAGTAACATGAGTTAGCTCCCCATCTGAGTACTATTTCTTAGCAACCAACCTCTAGATGACGTTAATTTTGATGAAAATTAAGTAAAAATGTTGCAAGGCAAGCTTCATCTCTTTCTCTGCATCCCCATTGCGCATTGATCTGATTATTATCCTGGTTTTGACTCTCTTATCCAGAGGTACCACTTTCTGATTACTTCCACAAGCCAAACCACAATTGCTGAACTGAAAAGTATCTTTTAAATTTCATTTCTGATTTCTAGGCACTTTTTACAATGGTAACTTTTCTTCACAAGGCATTTCCCAACTTGAACACCAACTCTATCAGCTCCTCTGAGAGCAATGGTGAAGAAACATTTTGGGAAGCCTTAATATACATAATTTTTTTCCTTATTTCTCGATATAAATGAGGAGATAGGAGGTTTGCAAGACAGAGAACTAAACTCGTTGACTAGGAGTTTTAGCATGTGCAGGCACTCCCCCTGCTCCTCTAATCGAAAAGGGTACACCACGGCTGGAGCTCCTACTGATTAGATGGTAGTCTAAAAATAAAACTATAACCGTGATATCGTCATGAAAATGCCTCCTCACTCCTCGATCAATCTTTTTCAGGTCTGAGTATCTCATTTCTCTCTTTTTTGCAGCTTCCCGGAGTGCAGTTTTGATTAATCTTTTAGCAATTCCCTGAACAATTATGAAGAGAGGTTAATAAAGATGGTCAATACTTCTACTATGAAACGCAAGTTCAGAGATCGGAATCTTACATTGCGTGGATAGTTGTGAACAATGTCAACAGCCTCCTGATTACTAAGGTGCTCCCATAGACCATCGGATGCAAATATAAGAAACTGATCTTCAGGGCTGAGTTTCTGCACCAATATTGATGGCTCAGCACTAAGGATGGGCTTATGAAAGGGTTTGGGAAGTCTAAACTTTGCTAGCAAAGGTTCTTTGTTGAACTCTGCCTTCTTCAAGTAGGCATCACCAATGGATCTTGAAACCTGCAATGGTACAGATAGTTCCATTAACAAAGAGCCTCATCCTAACAACACTTTTTATGCAGTGCCCCTGAGTTTTTCTTTTGGATATGCAGAAGTTAGACTTACTGTAAAAATAAAAATGTAGTAGTTATCTAAGAACTATTGTGCACTTATAAAAGGGAAAAGAAGCTTAGGGAAATTTAATGCAAAGATCACCTGTATAAGACCCTTCACACGCCAAACCTTGTGCTTCAAAACCACTATCTGTGAATCGTCAGGATGCAATTTGCGTAGCTCTTCTCTTACAGACTCATTACTTGCGTTGTGCTCTGTCGATAACTGAACAGCTGTAACATCTCTGATGGCCCTCTCAGATCTCCCTAAAACTACTCGAGAATCTCCAGCATTCGCAATATATAGCACTCCACTACATATGATCCCCACCAAACAACATGACCCAACTGATGCAATCTGTGGCTTATTCAACCATTGCTTCTTTACAAGAGAGAGGAATTCCTCTTCTGTTGCTGAGAATGCTTTGCTGATAACATCGACTGATATCCCCTGACGCTCCGATGTGAATTCTGCACCATATATAACCGTCAAGTCAGCACCTACATGCATTAGCTATACATATTATCTATATTAAGGGAGAAATGCACATTTAAACAAGAAAATGCATAGTTTGGTAATAAGGTGCATTATAGGGAGTCGGTATCATGCTTGAAATTTGATTCATTTAGTGGTTTACTGGCCATGAAAACAAAGACATTTGATCCAAGACGTGGTTAAACTCAACTCAAGTAAACCTTGTCCCGACTATATGGAGTCGGTTACACGAATCCTGTTCCACCATACTGCTCTGTTCAGTGCTACATCCATTGTTATGGACCCTTAAATCATTTCTCACTATTTCAACCCCTGCCCCTCTTGATCCAGGATGTGAATGCCCTCCCAGAAATGCATACATGGACCATTAACATTTAAGCTCAGTTTGGAAGGAATACAAATACAAAAATGTAGAGTGCAAACTCTTGTATTTTGTATTATTTTTAATGTATTTGCACTGTACATATTTGTATTTGTACTCTTTCCAAACTGAGCCTTAGGAAAAGAATGCTTGCACATAGATGCAAAATTTCCTATAAAACAAGTCAAATTGCTCTTCTTGGTAAGCAAAACAAATAAGAGTATGCGATTATTCTCTATTTGTCTAACAATGTTAACTCTTTATAGGTCTGAAATTCACTCTCTCTCATGAGGGCAATTCCCATTGCTCAGCTAACTATATATCTTAATTTATCAAATAGTAAAGAAGCTTGCTACAATCATTTTATTTTACCTGGAATACTTGGGGCAATTTGAGATGATCAACATAGTGGAAAAATCTTCAAGAGAATCAGAATGGAGAAAATTTATGACCCAATTCCAATCACTCCACAAGATCAGAGAGATAAAAACACAACATTGGTATTTAACTAAATAATTTGAAGAGAGTCAGCTGAGGAACAACATACTCTTGAGATTTTGGAACAGTCGGTCGTTTATGAACCTGGACGTCTCCGGACCGCCATGGCCATCATAAATTCCAACGAACGTCCCTTGTGGGCCTGAATCAAGAGAGCTCAATGGTCCCGACTCGAGTTGGCTCTGATCTTCCAATAAGTTGTTGGCTTGAATTACAGCCATGGAGAATTCCCCGTTAACATGGTGCCCTGAATCCTTATACCACAGCAACCCATCGACCCGTCCACTTGCATCTCCGCTTTTACTGTCCTCAACAGAAGGCTTCCAACAGGGCGTGACGATCTTCATGAACCCAGATGATACCATATCTCACTCACATGTCTCATCCAAACCATCCAGCAATTGAAATGTTTATCAATGCTAGATCCAAACCAAGACCGAAACCCAGTTTTAATTCAAGTTTCTGCTTATGTTCCAAACCAACGACCCAATTTCTGGAAACTGAAGACCCACCCGGGAACCCAGACACCATTAACATATATATAGATCTCCAGGAGGAAAAAAATAAAAAGAAATGGGTATTGGAAGAAACTGGAGTAGATGAGTCCAGGCCAAGAAAGCTACACTTTTTAATAGAATTCACAAAATTAAAAGGGATATTTGCCTATCATACCTTGAATCTGGTTGTCGGGGTTTTGACAGCCCATGTGTATGGTGACTTCAACAGCAATCTTAGCTGGAAAATCCCATTTAGATTTATGGTGACAGCGTCCGATCAGAGATCAGAAAAATCGTAAATAGATAAAGGGAATGGGGGGCAGAGTGAGATTTGGATTTTTTTTTTCTTTGACAGGAAATCTTCAATTGTGGCTGTACTAGATGGGTAGATGTCGGGGTGGAGATGGGGGAGAAGAAGCCTTTGCGTTGTTCTTGATCGTTTTAAGGTGGGGTGGGGTTAGTTTATTGTTTAGGTAATTTTAGAAACCTCTCGTTTTCTTTTCCTCTCTCATGAACTAATGAACTTAACCTTCCTCATTTTTCTAATCTTTTCACTCATTTCCGAGGGTTTGTTTCCTATAGTTCATTGGCTGAGGTTTTGACCTCGACGAGCAACAACCCATTTCTTTAGGCAACTTTTGCTCACCTCTCCTAATTTTTGTTTTGTCGTTTCAGAATGATCTCTCTATCTTTCATTCACTTCACTCTCAGTTTTGAGCAATGTAGATTTTGTGGCTCTCAATCAATCAATGTCATCCATTTCTTTGACGTAATGAATTAAATAATTCCTGCAATTCCATTTATAACCAAGGGCTATGACCCAGTTTCGGCCCCAGCCATTTAACTCTTAACAGGGGTGGACTGGATATCATTAGGACTTAACATTCTGTCATTTTGTTTTTTCTTTCACATAAATAACTAAAACAACCCCATTTGAAGTGTGAAACTGTGGATGTAAAAACCCTTGAGTTTCTGCAAATTGGTAGGGACTAGGGAGGAGCTTGGTCTGATGATCTTGTTATTTAGTAGTAGTATCTGCATTGTTCAATTATCAAACCGTGTATTGACTGTCAATCAGATTCAGAGTTTTTGTCTAATTTAATGGGCTTTGTTAACATTGCTGGCATGGTCCCCTGCGGTTGCAAAATTGGGCTAAAGCCTAAAAGGTCAATAACCCAAGTGCCAATGGTGGACCATACAGTCAAATGAATCCAACTCATGACATTTCATCAGCGATTGGATGACAACTGGCACTGAGTTTATTGCGTGTACACGTGGCCACGCAAAGCACACTGACCATGCATCTAATGCTGGACCCTACAGTGATGACCCCAGATCCACGGTGTTCAAAACAGTTGTAGTTTCAACGGTTAGGCCCAGCCACAACAAAGCTTTTTCGTCGACCCATCTGGGAAAAGGACAACCGCATAACATGTGGCTCTTCTCAACTGCGACCAATTTGACGTTGAGGTAATGCTGCTATTATTATTGTAAACGTTGATCTCTTCTTGGCTTATTGTTTTGTCTTTTGGTGAATAAGCCATTAAGCTCCAAAAGCTGGATGGGTGGTACGTAACATTTCAGTAGTTCAACCGTTTGTTTGATAACTGCTCCTAGGCTTCTAGCATTAATTCGTGGCCTTGTATCAACTATATATCAACTACTTTTCTTTTGCTTTTTATGAAACAAGAGTCTGGAGTTGGAATGCGACTCTCAACATTCAATATCCTTCTGGCATGGTGGGTCTTGTGAAAAGACTTGTCCATGTTTATCTTGCATGGAGTTCAGGAGTTCTATGCTCATCATTTACCTCTGTTTCTCTTTGCTTCTAAGGGTGAAATCAACCCATTCATCACTAGTATTTCTCATTTCTCTCTCTTTGTTCAAAATCACTGTGTGAACTGAAGGGATACATAAGATATACAGGATATAGATGGATATATACTTGGATAGATCATACAAGCCTCTTTTCAACATTCTGAACCTCTTTTGTGAGAAGAAATTAAAGAAAAAAATTTCACAATAATCTATTTTTGTGTATAAGGGGAATGATGAGGAAACTCCAGTAGCCACCCCTGTACTGTACTGTATATTACAGTACTGAGGAATGGAAACGAACAATGCCATTAGCAACTCTCTGAATCTGAATTCAGCACCCTACAGACATCAACAGGAACCTGTGAGAAGACACAGCACAAAATACAAAATAAAGCTGGACATGTCGTCAGGGTCCCATTGAATTGGAATAAATTTAAAGCAACTAACAACTACGTCGCTGTTTAATTTGATTGACGCGTCTATCTCCCACAAGGAGGAAGAAAATCAAATCCCAGTTTACAGCAGAAGCCAGCCCAACTGAAACTGACGGGAAATCAGGATTCTTCATTTCACTATTTCACAACTCTTCAGCAATATCGCCAAAGAAAACGTATCTTCATTCTTCAAAGACCCAAAATAACCAGGGTTCGTGGGGTTGTGGTTTGTGGATGGATGATATTGACTATTGAGTGTTGAGAACTTTACCTATAAAGAAACAATGGTCCACCATGACAATCTGATAATTTTTTCCCCTCGGAGAGATTCTGGTGCAAGTGAAACATGCTGCTAATAATATCACCAGAAATTCTGTGGTCCTACGCAATGCTTTGAAAACTGAACTTAGAAGACTGGATTCGTGCTTTAATTTAATAACTTGTTGTCAACCAGTCGGACTGTTAGACGGAACTGGAGTCCCCTTCCATTCCCAGTTTTACAGATTCAACAATTGTCGGTGCTCTCAGTTTCTTGTTATGTTGACTTGCTTCTGAGTTTTGACATCACTAAGAAGGGTATCTGATTATGACCAAATAAGTGACAGAATGAAAGTATTCTTCTTACTCTTCTATCAACATCTAGCATTACAGCAGGGGTTTGAGTTTTCCCACTGTACTGAATGGCTGAATGCAAGTAGTGCACTGAATTCATAGTAAATTAATGAGGTTTCTCATTTAATTAATTTCCACTTGCAACTGACAACTTCGGCTACATGTCCATGGGATTTTCTCATGGTGATTACATTAGTCCATGTATACAGCATTGTCATTGTTGCATGGAATTAGTATGTGCTTAATTTTAAAGATCCAATTTTGCCTTATTTTCTGTAATAAAGTAAATGCACACCGTTCCAATTAAGTACAGAGTTCAGTCTATTAGGAACTATATATTTTCTTGTTCACAAGACAATATTAATAAAACATACCATAGAGATATGTAGCTTGGAATTACAGACCATGGAAAACTATAGGAAGTATTATCAAAAGGTATGAGCTTGTACTAGACAAAATGTGGGATGGATGAAATGGCAGATAACGATTGTGGTTTTCTTTGAGGCTTCAAAAAATTGTGGTTTTCTTTGATCAGTAGAGTATAGATTGTGGTTGCCCAAGATATTTTGTAGATCACTGGTTTGAACTTTGAATGATATGGACACAGCCCCCCTCTCTCTGTCTATACCAATGATGATGTGTGTGAATTCTGGCCACTGGGAGGCATGGATGAGCTTGGTCATCTACTTCCTACTATAGGCAAACTACCTAGTCCTTAACCTAGGTTTAGGTTACACTTTTTAAATATAGCAGGCTCTTAGAAAGCAATGTAAGGTTGTTATTTGTGAAGGATAACGTTCATGAGTTGGGAAATCCCGAATGTGTTTGGATTTTTGCTCTGATACTTTCTTGAGTTAGATCTTAACATTGATCTCTTGTGATCTTATTATCATCATCACATCTGTAACTCGATCAATAGGTCTCACAGTTGAGCTGTACCCATTTACTTTCAGTTCAAACTCTCAGTCTTGGCGGTGCTCAGCCCGGCAGCCCGATGTCTCTATATATGCCCAGAACAGCAAGGAGCCTTGCGAGATGAGTTTGATTGATGTGTTGCAAAGGAATGGACCCCTGTCCCTTGCAAGTGGGTTCTCACACAGAGGAGACACTCTTATGGGTCTTTAGCTCGCCACAAGGCCCATTAATGGAGAAGGGCTTTACCCAACAGTATGGACTTGATTATATTGATCGTACATTTAGCCTTGTTGTCAAACCCATTACCATATCTCTCCATTGCTATATCTAAGAATTGGCCCATTCACTAACTTGATGTGGCATTCTAGATGAAGACATACATGGCCTAGCGGCTTTGATTCGTTGGATTACTAATTCATACAAAACAATTCAAGAAATATGGCTTTATACCTCACCTTGTACATCGTTAAGGCCATGTTTGGTATCAAGGTTTTTAAAACCGAATTGGACAACGAACCATTCAGGGGTCCAGTTCCCATGTCGAATGGTCCGACCATTCGAACCAAACAGGCGGCCCGTTCTGACAAAAAATAAAAAATTAAAAACGACCAAAAACCATTGGACGGTATGAATGGTTCAATTGCCTAGGTCAGCAGTTTGCTGACCAAATCAACCATGGTTTTTAAAAACGAACCGGTGATCGAACCGATTAGGGGTCCGATTACCGGTTCGAATGGTTAACCGGTTGGTTCAGCCGTTTGCAAACCAAAATCAACGGTTTTGGAGGAAAATGGAACTGGTCAGGTCCCGGTTTTGGAAACCATGAAATCAATATTTTTTTATCCAAAAGACGGTTCTAGGGTAAAACAGAACGTGATCACTTCCCAATTTTCCGGTCCGATCGTCCGATCCAGTCCGATTTTGAAAACATTGTTTGGTATCAATGCAGTTTTCTCATAAATAGCCTTAGAATTCTATAAAGAAATCTAGGTACTCTGCACATTCTTTAAAGTTATTTGGTGGCAATTAGGCGCCACATAGGCAAAAAGGATAAAATGTTTTCTCCTGCACAAAATCCCAAGGAATACTTGAAAGTTTGAAAATACTTGAAAAGTCTACATTGTCTATTGGATAATCATTCTCATTTTCTGATATAAGCATAACTAGTGGCTAAAGAGTAAAAAGGACACAAGTCATTGTATAATTTTAGTCAAGAGAGATGAGGGGTAATTTAGTCCTTCAATCATATCACGACACGTGGCATTGCAGAATAGTAGAGTGACACCTTGGCACCACGTAACCAGACCCTAGGAGGACCTCAGGTCGGCGTAAGAAGCGACCTACTTTCACCGATCTGACATGACTCTGGTTAATGACCAGATTGACGTGTTGAGCGACCTCCCCCTTAAGTGGACTATCGCCTCCGAATTCCCCGGGATCACGACGCCACGTTGGAAGAGCTGGTTATCACCCCGCCCGCTTCAGGTGAGACTGGATAAACATTAACTGCTTACACGGAGTCCACTTCCATGCATGAAGCCACCTCCGAACAGGCGGACCGGAGATCCTGGACACGTTTCGTGAGGCTTACGACAGCTTGCCTATATAAGGGCCTCTCCTCGAACCTCATAAGGTATGTGTGATTTAGCACTCAAGCTCTCTATCTCTCTCTTGCTTTCTAGCTCTCAGAAAACTCTAGTTCGCTAACTTAAGCATCAAAGTGCCCATACTGGGTAAAGTAGCCCAGGTACTTTAATATTTTCTCTCTTTCCTCAACCAAGCAACCTATCTAGTCCGGCGTCCGAGCTATCCACCAGTAGGGAGCTACCAAATTACGCACCATCAAAGAGAATAATGG